CTCCAGATCTAAGCTTGGTCTTAGATCTCGAGATCTGAGCGATTATTCCCTTGGTGGATTAATCCCTCCCGGCTATTATTCCCTTCGTGGAATAATACCCGCATACTCGTGTAGATCCGACCGGATCTAGATCGCGCGGTGGTCCACGGATTAACCCCGGCGCAGGCAAAGAACCCACCAAAGCGAGCGACCGCAAAACAGGAGCTCGTGATTTGTTCACAGAGGAGAGTTGTAATTTTTCTTTATTTTCTTTGATTTAGTTGTAACCGGATCTATAAAAGACCGGATCTTTGTAACCCAAGATGACAATCATATCAATGAAAAAGAAAACAGTTTTCCACGCGAACAATCTGGCGACCACAGTGGGAGCCGACGATCTCGCCAACGAGATCGATGCGTCGCAGCCGCGGATTGCAATCCCGGTCGTGGAGGAGGTCGAGTACGAGTTCGACCAAGCCAAGTTCGAGGAGTACGTGTCCTCGTCCGGCTCTATCTCCCCCCGCAAGTCCAAGAAGTTCTCCTCCGGGAGAAAAGCTCGTTGGTTTGAAGCTGCTCGGGAAGCCCACGAAGCTCTCAACCCAACTGACGCCGAAGTTGCGTCAAATGAAGTTCCACCGACCTCCAATCAGGTCAACCCAACTCCCGCCAACGCCTCTACTGTTCAGGGCGTTGTGACTCTCTCAAAGAGAGCCCGCCAGAGGCGTCGTCAACGCCTTGCGCGGCAATTCGCTAAGGCGATGGAGTCTACGGACGGATTCCGCTACCACGCGGAGTTGAAGAACAGAAGAGGCAAACAGCCTCAACCACCAATGAATGGCGACTCTTCCAAGCCGCCAAAGAAAGAATGGGTCCGCGTCAAACGGAACCGTTCGACACTCGAGGAGCGCATTCGCAAGCGCCGCGCGATGTCAGCGCAGGCACGGGCTCAAGCTCAGGAAGCCCGTAGAAAGCTGCAAAAGGAGGTGGAGAAGAAGCCACCACCAACACGACAAGTCTGGAAGCCTAAGTCTGAAGTGGCGACTCAGGCCAAAAAGCAACCAGTGCAGCCTTCTAAGGAAGGTCAAACTCCGGCGAGTCAACCAAAGTCGCCGTCAATCCCAATAACTTCTCCGGGAGATCATGCAGAGTCATCCCGCAAGAAGAAACCAATTTTGGAGCGCCTCGGTCCAATTCCTGACGTGAGAGGCAAAGCTCCAATTCACGAGCGTTTGGGCCCGATGAAGAAGCCCAGAACGACTCAACATACTGGGGGTCGCCATCACCTCCAGCATGACAAAGACCTCAAGGCAGCTGCGCGCACCAATTTGCGCATTGAAGTCCAAGATCACGCCGAAAATTCACGCCCAAAAAGGCATGTTTTGAGGCGGGTAACCTTTGAAAGCCCAAAGAAGGCAAGTCAACCTCAGATGGAAACATTATCATCTGATAATGATTGTGTTGTACCTGAGAAGGCGTGCCCGCACACGATAGGTTACTCTGACTGTCAAAATGACGAGTTGTACTATCGTGCTGGGGGTACGAATAGAACCAGGAAGAGGAGTCCCCGAGAACGGGAAATTCAATGTCCCTGTTCCAAACTCATTCGGGCGGTATTGTCGGAATGCAATTGCATTAAGGCGGTCCCCGAAAGAGTTTCAGTTTTTGAAAGACTTAATGCGGAAACGCCAAAACCAAGGCCTAGGCGCTTCCAACGAAGAAGAAGGGTGATTGAAGACGGAGAATTTCCGAGGGTCACCACCAACATGACGAGCAAAGGGACATCGGCACGAGAAGATTTCGAGTCGATTCTGAAAGCTTCCCGACCTAGAACCCGTCTGCAGTCCGGAACCATAGAGCGAGCAACTTATGGTAGGATTCGGACAAGACGCCCTTCAGAAGATGAAGAATCTGATGCCGGCTCCGCGGTGGCATCAGATAATACAGTATCCAGCGAGGGACAACCCCGCGAGGCCCTGATGATAAGTGCGGAGCAGATGGCCAAGATGCTTGAAGACGCTTTGGCTAAGCAGAAAGAAAGTTTCAAATTTGAGATGGAGATGGCCATGCAGCAGATGAGAGAAATGCATGACCAACAGATCCAAGCATTGGCGAACCAACAAGGCGAGCAGAATCATCGTAACCCGATTAATGTGGAAGATGAGGATACAAATGCTCGTAACACCAATGATCCTCCCGTCAACGCAGGGGGTGGTAATGAGAATGCTGGCGAAGAAACCGGCGAAAACCTGAAGATCAAGAACCTCGAGAGCAAAATCAACACACTAATTTCCGCTCAAGAGACGAAGAAAACAGGCATTCCTTGCCCATACCCAAGAGAATGGGAATCGATCCCATATCCGGCGAAGTTTAATCTAATTAACTTCACGCCGTTTAATGGGATGGGTTCACCTACCCAGCATTTGATTTACTTCAAATCGCATTTGGGGGTGATCTCTGGTAATGAGCCTCTGATGGTGCGGTCATTCGTCGGCACTCTTCGCGGAGCCGCCTTCGATTGGTATCGCCGCCTCAAGCCAGGCAGCGTGAACAGCTGGGATGACATGGAGACCAAGTTCCTGGCCAACTTCTTCGACGACGACACCGAGATATCTATCGGATCGTTGCTCGATGAGAAGCAGAAAGACGGAGAGTTAGTCGACACCTTCGTCAAAAGGTTCCGGAACAAGGCGATGAATTGCCGGGACCCGATCACCGAGGAATTCATCCTCCAGACCTGCCACAACAACCTCGCGTTGGACGTGCTGGAAGCAATGGGGACAGCACCATCCAAGACATGGAAGGACTTGAAAGTCCGGGGAGAGCAAGCTGAGCGATTCCTCAAGAGGAAGAAGGCGGAAAGAGGCCAACCGGCGACAAGTGCTCCAAAGCAAAACTTTGTCCCACGGGGGAAAGGTAAGGCACAAGCTAATGCAGTTGATGCTAATCAAACCTTTCAATTGCAACCTCAGCAACAGCAGCCACAGCAACAAGCCCCACAACAATCTCGAGGGCAATGGCAACAACGGCCTCAGAAGCAGAAATCTGCGGAGCCGAGGTTTCCTAAAGTGTACTCCTTCAAGGATGATGAAGTTCCCGGCATCTTCAAATACTTGTTGGAGAACAACAAAATCCAGCTGCCGGCGATCGTGGATCAAGAAGGGGCGAACAAAGTGACGGACCCGAAGTATTGCGCATACCACAGAGCGGTCCATCACCCAACCAAGTCGTGCTACCACCTAAGGACAAGACCTACGAGATCATGCTACCACCTCAAGGACAAGATCCAGGCGTTAATCGACGTAGGGGTCATAACCCCGAAACCAGCCAAGAATGTGGGGGCAAACGCAGTGTCAATCAGTTTTGGGTCGGTGCCTACAACTTGGTTCGAGCCAAAACGCGTCACCAAAGTCGGGATGAAGACGGTGAATGACGACCCACACGGACAGCGCCAAAAGGGACTTGTGCCGCACACAGCCCCAAACGGCGAAATCCTCTGGGTTCATCCCGATCTGATTGAAGATGAACAATGGGCTGGATCGTCATCCAAGAAGAAGTCCAAAGGAAAGGCTTGCTGCGGAGTCTCTGCCATCCCAGGGGAAGATGACGAAAGAATCCCCACTTTTCCGCTCTCTGAAGAAGAACAAGAAGTTTTTGCGACCCGAAGCGGAAACGAATATCACTACAACTATCCGCCACCTAGTGAGCAGGGGGTGAACAAACGGGGACCAGCCAAAACTCTCACAGAGATGGGGGTGATTACAAGTCCCACACCGGGTAAAGAATCTCAACAACAGCCGGTAGATAAACATAAAGAAAAGAGGCCCCAAGAGGTGCAAAACCCGAAGCAGTCTCGTTTCAGTCGCCCGCTTGGAAGAGACAAACCGGAAAGCTCGAACACTCTGCGCAGCTTCGATATTATGGCGCAACTAGCCAACATTCCAGCACAGATAACGTTGTATGAGTTGCTGCGGTTATCCAAGGAAACCAGAGAGGCCTTGCAAGAAGCTTTGGCCAA